ATCTTGCTGGCAACATCCCGAGCGTTCTTAATCGCAGCCGCACCCGCCTCGTAGGCAGCCTTAAAGCGGGACAAAGCCAAGCGATTGTCCTTCAAGGCAGGGATGCTCTGAAGATGAGTCTCGATCTCGGATTCCCACGTGGACTTGTTAAAGAGGTAGATGTAATCCTCCAAGGTCTCGATCTTCAAGGTTTTGCAAAACTCCTCAACCCAGGATGATTCCAAGCGAGCCCGCTTAAAGCATGCTTGGAGCCCTTGGTCGTCCTCAGTCATGATGCGAACCGAGCGGAGAAGCCTAATGAGCCCGTGTCTGCAGGTGGGCAGTCAAAGACAAACCACACCGAGAGAACACTGAGATCACGGCGATACCCTACAAGTAGCACGACCTGATGGAGCAGCATCGGCACGAGATGCACAGAAGCTTTTGCACTCAAAACCGTCGGGGCTCAAAATGACATCGGGTCAGATCTACGCCTAGCTCACTCGTCAGCCCCCCACCCTGCACGATGACAAGAGCGACAGTAATGACGAGCATGGCCATGACGAGCTCCAGGACGATCGCGACGCCCGCACAACCTGGTACACGATGGGTTACCACAGCGGATAGTACAGACAGCACCGGCAGGAGGAGCCCCCGGGGGTGGCGGCGTAGGCCCTGTACCCGCTCCTTGAACATTGCCGGGTCCTTGCTGCTGCTGAGTGCCCCTGTGCGCCTGCTCGGCTGTCACCGCCGCCAAAATCAACTGGAGCTGTTGATCTGAGAGCGAGGCCGCCCATGATGCGAGCTGAACTGGACTGAACATGATGTCCAAAACGCAAGCTCACAAGGCAGCACCGAAACTAACGAGAACCTTGAACCACACAATAGGAAAGTTTGCACGAGCATGCTGCTTCAAAGAGACAGACATGCAAGAGAAGGGCACCGGAATGTTTTCATCACACTTCCAGGATGCACCTCCGCAGCGCTTCTGGCATGCGGGCAAGGCACTTATGGCAAAATGGGGATCCCCTCTGAGACAGGCCAACTCCCTTTGCCACCGGATCTTGTCTGAAAGCCTCCTCACGGCACCACGGAACCAAGCGACCATCCACAATCTCCCGGACAACGTGGCGCCGAGCCCTCTGGCTGAACCACTCGATCTCATCGGCATCGCCCGCATTGACGAGTTGATTTGAGGAGCAGCACGAGGAAGCCACGGATGTGTCAGATGAGCCCTCATCGGAGCTGCTGTCGGAAGATCCTGACCTCGGGGACTTCGGGACAGAGGCACCACCTGAGGGGGAAGATGGCAAAGCTGCAGACGGTTGTATGTGCTCCCACAAGATGCAACCCGGCTGGAGCAGCTTGTCTGTCATGACCAACTGGATTCTCTTAGCCTGGACTGTACGGAACACCGCCCGCAAAATCCGCAGCTTGATCGCAGCACTGGAGGAAACCTTCTCACCAGCGTAATGGTCCGACATGAGTTTCTTCGGGCGAGGCACAGAACTCCCAGATGACAAAGCCCCTTCAGGAAGCTCTACCCAGGATCCCACAGCCTGGGCTTCATGTGGTGACAAGGCACACACCTTAGCCCCAGTTGGCAGGAAGCGTCTCAGACGATTGTAGCCTGCACGAGACGCCTTCTCGAATGGGAGCCCGGCACGAATAAGCAACCCCCGGAACAGCTCAAGAAACCGAGATCTGCTCATCTTGCGATCAATGCGAAAAGCAGTAAGATCATGAATCTGCCACAAATCTTCACACTGAAGCGCGAGAGCAGGAAGGAGGAAACCGGCCGAGCCCGGCAGCGAGCTCGTGAAGAAATCTCGAAGGATCTCGTTCACATCGAGATCACCCCACACAACTTTGGGCATGGCCCAACTGTAAGGCTGCCGACTTCCCTGCCGCCTACTCTTACCCTTCCTACAGAGAAACTCCAAAAAATCAGGGGTAGCCCGAACAAAAGTTGATCTCTGCAAGTGGGCAAAACGAATACAAGATACAGCGCTCATGATCACCAGGCACGCCAGGATGCGCGGAGAGCCCTGAAGCTCGCGAGTGACCTCGAGGATGTTCAAGAACTCCCAAGGCTGAAGCTCCTCAGCCTGACGACTAACATGCCCCGGTGAATGGAGTCGGAATGGCCGGATCAGAATGTGCTCCGTGGGCAAGCAAGCACCCATGTTCAACACGATCCAGCGCAAAGCCTGGTACACACTACAAGCAGCCGTAGGCCCACCTTCAGAAACACCCTGCAGGAAAGCAGCGAAGTGAGCCGGTGCAGGGTTGAAGGCCGGAATCCCCTGACTTGTAGAATACTGCAACCAACGCCGGAGGCATCTATGCAGAGTGTTCAGGCGGGACAAGGATGGATGCTCAGTCGCCTTCATAATCATAGCCCTTGCTTGGCCTGCTTGATTCAAATCATCCCAATTGACTCGATCAAACCCGAGCTGGCGCAGGTCCAGTACTGATGTCCGCAGAGTCAAGAAAAACTCTGCTACCTTCCGAGCTCGCACCTCATCAACTGGCTTAGCGGCTGACTTAGGGCTTGTCAATGTTGGGACGTTCGCGACAGATCCCGCAGGCAAAGTACTCCACAAAAGACGTGGGGCTTTAGCAGAGCGAACACCAGCCGCATCACTCGGAGCGGAGGAGGGCCTCTTGGCAAACATGGATTGGCGATCCAAAGTGATCTCACCTGCACGCAAGCCTTGCTCGCGCTGACTAGCCTGTCGGCACCGCCTGTAAAACATTTCACAAGCACAGGCTTCATCGTCATCCTGAGGAGCAAGATCAATGATCGCTTCATCCAATGATCGCCAATAGAAAGCAACATCCACAACATCGGACAGCCCCAAACGCCCAATCTTAGCAGCAGGTTCAGAGGGCAGCAATGAAACAAGATGGCTCCAATCCATGCATGGCAGCACAGGAAAGAAATGAGCACATCATGCTAACTCTCGAACCACATGCTGCTGAGGTTATAGACATGAGTGGTTTACATGTTCAATACTCAGGCAGGCCCTTCCCAACCAGCCATGCAGCCTGATGTAACACAAATACCCGCGAAGACGGAATGCACTTGGCCGCAAAGGGGCAGCCTCGGCCGGGCGAAGGTATGCAGGGCCAATCACGTAGGCCGGCCACCAAAACCGAACCCTGAAGCGGAAGAAGGACCTGAGGAAGGGCCTCAAAGAAACTCCACATCGAAGCTTGAAAGGGGATGCCGCGTTTGCTTCGTCACTATCGTTCAATCGCTCTCCTAAGTAACATCGGCCCAGCTACCAACATATCCAAAGATTAGAAGACAGTGTTCTACCCTTGAAGCCAACCCGTCCAAGTTCTCTCCTGTCCGTCGACGTCGGTCTGGACCCTCACATATGCGACACCAGGAGAATGAGCGACGAAGTGCTTCACACGAGCGCTGCCGCGAAAGAATATAAGACCCCACCGCCAACCCCTTGTGGTAGACCTGCTTGCTGATGTAGCAATGCTGCAGCTGCAGAACATGTACACTGCCTGAGGGCATTTCATTTGAATGGATGAGGTGCCATTGACCGCCGGCGGACCGTGGTGCGCTTGGGTGTGGACTTGTGATTGGTCGTGCTGGCGGTGTCGGTGGTGGTGCTGCGACACGACAGGAAGACAGGTAGGACCAGGACATGGATTGGCAAGCATCTGCACAAGCCGAAAGGGTTTTGTCGGGGAGACTGACTGCACCGGTTGCACCCCTATGCACGTTTCTCTGTGCTCCGGGCCGGAGCTCTGGCGGCTGCGAAAAGAACGGCTAGCCTCAGAGTCAGAGTGCTGCAGCCTCAGGGCCCCGGACGCTTCGTCACTGTCCCGCGCCTCTGCTCCCACACTCCTGCGCTGGTGCGAGTCTTGCTTCGGAGGCTCGGAGGGAAGCAGAAAGAGCCGGTGTCCTCTTGCTTTGCCTCGCCTGGAGCTGGCACATGTCGCGCTGCCTAGGTGTGAACGCACTCACGACAGTCATCCACATCGTCAACCCTGAGCCCTGCACTCTCCCCTTTGCCTCATTTCCAGCAGCGTGATTTCGCGTTGCAAGGCTTCGACCTCGCGTGGCTCGTAGAAACGGCGGGAAACAAGCAAGCGTTGACGGTAACGCTCGCCTCACGCATCCTCCAGGTCAGTGCAGAGGTTACCGACTCCTCAGGTTACCAGCTGTCCCAATTCCTGCTCAGGCACTCGCTCGGCTGAGATTCGGGCATGCCAGTGGCCCGGCTCCGGAGGGATGCGGAAACCTCGCACAAAACAAGCTTTCTCTGCTGCAGGCAGGGGGAGACCAAGCTTCGGACGCCGCATCGCCTTGACCTACAAACTCTTTGACACTTTGAACGGACTATGACTATGCTCGCTATGCTCGTTTGCCTCCGGCTTCCACACGAGAAAAACCCTCGGGCCTTCTTTTGCCACTCTCCCCGCTCTCGGACTGCCGCCTGCAGAACCTGCCACAAGCGAGCAATGAAAGTAGCAGGCCGGCAGCTCGGTTTTGCCTGCTTCAGTTCGGTGATCAGCGTCTCACCTTACACTACCAACCACTTTGGCACGAGCCACACTCACCCAAAGCCTTGATTGCATAAGACCACGACTCGTCGTGGCTCAGCTTCCGGCGTTCCGATATACTGGAAGAGATGCTCTGCTTGACCATAGATATCCAGTATGATGAATCCTGCAGTTGCGCATGGCGCATGGATGCCAGGCAAAGGGCCGGCGAGATGCGGCACGCTGTCACTCCCAACGTTTCTGGCATCATCTCTGCGCAGACTCTGGCCCACAACAGCAGCGGTTGACCCAGCGCTATAGGCTTCCGTGCTGCTCAACCACGTACCCCAACAATGCTGTTGGCAGTTTCGCAGCGTCGACGCGAAGGAAGCCACGCAAAATGGCTTGTTACATGCCACCCCCGGTCTTCAGGGCACGAGAGCTTCGGTGGTTCGGCACACGCAGGCAGTCCTCCCAACTTGACAGCTCCGGCTCTGTGATAAATGCCTGGCGGCTGTGGCTGCAGTTCGTTGGCATACTCCCACTGCTCCATGCGCATCCCGTCACTGAGCGCTGAACACTGGCAGAGGCGTGCATATCAACTTCCGGTTGTGCCAGATCTAGCAGCAACCATGCCATGCCACGCCCTTTCGCACCGTGAAAACTGTGGCTACGGGCATTCCCGGCTCGGAGATGGATCTTCCTGGCACAACCACGCGGCGGGGCAGATGCGTGGCTGCTTTTCAAAAGAAAGGGAGCGCCTCTCTGGAAAAGGAGCTCGGCCTTGCTGGCTCAATTTACGTCTCTCCAAAGGACTCTAAAGCCAAAGGACTCTGAGCGACAGGCGAGCTCGGGCCAGAGGATCCTGGAGCCCAAACAAAAGCGCTAGATCTCCAGGCTCACGGCCGCCGCATGCGCCTTCGTTAATCAGTCGACGCTCGCCCTCCTGGCTTCGCAAGAGCGGGAGCCAGAGAAGTGATGCAGCAGGGCTGACCCTATCCCGTCCTTCCTCATGACGAGCCTGCACAAGGACAAGCCGTGTGCCGAAAGTGCGAAGTGCGGAAGACAGGAAGAAAGCGAAAGGAAATCCTCTGCTCTCATTGCCGGCCTTGCTCTCCAAATACCTGGAACTTCGAAGAGGAGAGGTGAAGAAGATCAGGGCGGGCAAGGCCACGCTCTTGTCTAGTCACAGTCAGTCTTGCACTGTGACGCTGCTCATTGCTTGCATGTCGGCAGCTACCAGAGAATCTGCCTGCAAACTTGGGCGTCGTTATGCATGTTCGCAGATGCTGTGTCGCTACAGTCTGGGTCCATGGCTGCAAAAACCGGAAATCTGCATGACAAGGGCGGCACCACGAGTCAGAGGGAGCACTCCGTTGCAAGAGGCTTTTTGACACGGTGCAACCGACTGTGCAAAACGTCCAAGCATCATTCGGGCTTGGACCGGGGCCCAAATCTTGTGAGATCACGGCCGAAAATCAAAGTTCCTGGGCACCGGAAAGAGGGGGGCGAAAGGCGTAGGGATTTTTTTGACGACCACATCATAAGCTGCCACAAGCTGCTGGTGCAGAGAAGCCTCGAAGCCAGTCGGTGGACAGCATGAAACGATTTCGCATCGACAGCTGGAGGAACCAGTAGGTGAACCGCCAGCCAAGAAACGCAACAAAGCCAGTCACCCGGTTCACACCCGGGAGCTTGGCCATGACAGCCGTAAAGCCGCCGAGGTACGCCATCGTCCCCTTCAGTAAAGGACAGCAACCAACTCTAATACTGCAGTGCTTCATCAGCGGTTCTAAAGCCCTGAAGCGCTGAACGCCGCTGAACATCATAACATGCAAAACCGATAGTGACATAAACATGAAACCAGAAAAAGGGTGAAAAGGATGCCGTGCCTTGTTGTGGAACTCGAACGGCTTAATATTCAAGGGGTCTTTCTGACTCAGCACTTTGGCCAGATACTGCCCCTGTTGATTGGCAACTTGCGCTGTTTGCGGAAGCCAGTAATCTTCTATGGTGGAACAATCGCCGATGGCATAGATGTCGTCTTCCCCCTTCACTTTCAAGTAAGGGTCTACCAGGATCTGAGATCCTCTGTCATTCATCGTAAAGCCAAAAGACTTCACGAATGGGTGAGGCTTGATGCCGGCACACCACACCAGTGTGCCATAGCGAATCGACATCAGGCTCTCTCCCGTCTTGACGTGCACTACGTTGGGCTCCACTTTCTGAACAAATGCACCAAGATGAATTTGAACCCCCTGCTTTCTCTGCAGGTGGGTCAGGGCATAATCCTGTAAGTCTTGGTCGAAGGTGTTTAGGAGGTCATAGGTGAACATGTGAACACGGATTGAGTGCTTCAAGTGACCGTAGAGCTTCGCACCCTCGTTGTAGAGGAAGTCTGTTAGTTCCCCAGCGAGCTCAACTCCCGTCGGGCCACCTCCTACCACAACGAAGGTCAGCAAGTCCTGGATCCTCGCCCGCTCCTCGTCACTCACAGAGAGATCGTTGTCCAACGCGTGGTGGTAGGAGGCTTCCTCCAGCTTCTCCAAGACCTCGGTTTGCAAGACTTATCGCATCTTGCCCCTATGGCCCCCGCGACATGCACTGCCGCTCTCCAGACTTCTCAGCCTGGCGCATGGTCTTTGAATCGCGTAGCATCTGCCGTCTCCTTCATGAAAAGAGCGTGCTCCTTCACACCTGGAATGTTGAAGTCGTTCGGCTGGAAGCCCACTCCCACCACCAGTTTGTCGTAGGGAAGCATGTACTCTTCCCCTCCCACCGTTCTGCATGTGACTTTCTTCGTCGCCTTGTCAATCGCAACAACAGCACTTTCATAGTAGGTGGCGTTCTTTTTCGCCACCAGCGGACGCACAGGTTGGCAAATCGATCTTTGATTCACCGTCCCCAGTGCGGAAGATGCCAACATTGGCGTGAACAGCAGATGGTTTCGAGGAGAAACGACCGTGACGTCTGTCTTCTTGGTGTCTATGTCAGCAAGGACACGAAAGCTTGCCCAACCAGTTCCCAAAATCATGACTTTGGCTTTCTCTGTGCTGAAAGCCCGGTGCCCACAGGCACGAATGTGCCGCCCGAGGACATGCCTCATGGCAGCGCTGGAGACGGAACCGCGGGAGGCCTTGGGGGCCTTGGGCCTTGGCGAGCCATCACAAGCTCTGCGGGCACCACATAAATGGCATCACGGCATATCACGGCATCCCATCCCTTCTGGCCCTGCGCTGCTTTCTGCCAGCTTTTTATTTCCGTCATCGTGTAGCAGGCAACGCTGCGCAGAGAGTCCTCGAACATCTCACGGGAACGATCGCACAAATCCCGGATTCCCTCGATTGACTGAAAGTTCCCCAAAATGCTCCTTTGCAGCTCAGCGAAGTGTGCGCCATCCAAACCTGACAGGGAAAGAATTCAAAGGCAGGACGGGTCGGGTCCCAACAAACCTTGTCGAAGCCGCATCGTGACTGCCAACTGAATGTCTGCAGCTGTGATCCTGGGCAAAAACAAATGCCAGCTCACAAGACTGACGAAAGTCTGAGAATGGCTCTGGAGCACATCAGACTTCTTCGATGTCCTCGCCGTTGATAGACGGTATCGTGCCAGCCTGGTGGCCTGAACTCTCAAAGGAGCAGTTTGAGGGAATCTTCGACAAGACCAGCCTCTCCGAGCACCGACTGCAACCAGTTCCGCATCCAGGCACCTAAAACGTCCACCGCCTCGGCACCTTCGGGACCCGGGCCACAGCCCCCCTCCGTGCGGGAGCCTTGCTGCAAGCCACTGATGCACATGTCCTGCATGTAGCCGTAACCGGGTCGACTTCCCAGGTCCTCCCACACCTGCAGCACGGGCACTTCTGTGATCTCTCTGACGCCCCTTCGCCTTTGAGAACCAGGGGCCTCTGCGATCGCTTGCGCCCAAAGTCTGTCGCCAGCTGCCGGCGTCTCAGCGGTCTCCGAAGCCGACCGACTCGGTCGAGGCTCGAGAGGCCTCAGATATTCTGGAGAAAGCTGATGCCGAAAGCTGATTCCAAGGACAACGAACAGCCAAAGCCTCGGACTCGCCCAGCGCCGCCTCCCACACCTTTCAGCTACAGCGTCATATTAGCGACGATAACGTGTAGGGATGCACTTCCGTGCCTGCTCGATGCTCCAAGCCTTAAGCTGCTGGCCGGCCTGAGCTGTTGACTGTTGCCAAGCTGTTCGAGAATTATGCCGTTCCGTTTCGTACTCTCCAGGCACTTCTGTCTAGCAGCTGCTGGTGCCAACGGGCGTGTGGACACAGTGTTGCCCTCCGCAGTCAGGAAACGCACCTCCGCCTGGCTTCCACCGCTCTTCCAAAACAACATGACACCGTCTTTGCCGTGCAGCTCATCGTCCAGCCTCGCCCATCAGCAACAGCGACTAACATCCATACGATGTGATGAACACTTCTCTCCTTACTCGGTTGGGTATGCCCCACGTCTTGCCAATCCGCTACTATGTGATTGGCTTCGTGCTCCAATTTGCGTACTCGCGGCGGCCATGCTGACCCAAAACAACATGACCGTTGCATGCCATGTTACAACTGGCTACACAAGCCATAACTCTTGCCGAAACATAGCTGCGACGGCAAACAAGACTCGGACACTACCGCTTCGTCATTTCTTGGGTACTCACAAAGGCGATCTCCGATTGCTAGGACGCATACAAGGTTACGACCACATCTTCTTTTCCATTGTTCAACATTGTTGTATCAGGTTAGGCACACTCACAGCAGATGTTCTGGGAAGTAACAAAACGTTCGGATATTTTCCCCCACCTGTTCACATCCACCCATACATGGCAAAACAAATGAGATGGGTACATGAAAACCTCTAAATTGCTATGTTGCTGCGGCACGACTGTTTTGCACTCTGAAGCTTCACAACAGTTACAAAGGGACTTGCACTACGAAAAAAGCGAATTAAAATGCATGATAACACACACACACACATACACAGAAAATGACATGTCAATACAGCAAAATCTTTCGCACCCCCAACAAAATTGGGGGGTGCTAAAGTTGTTCACCCTGCCTGATATGCCAAGCGCTCATGGTTTCTGCAAATCATCACAAGTAACGATGGGAAACGGCTTGAACCATGTTCAGTGTTCGCACTCACAAGGTAGTTTGCCTGCACCAAGCTAGGTTCAGCTTGCTAGCTCCCGCAACTCACTAAAGTCTTCTATTGCGCCCTAAAGATTCATATTCTTTTCCCGGATTTTGAATCTTGAGCTCTCCGGGCTCGCATATTTGCTCTGTTTTTGCATGTTGACACAGCAACAATCACGAAGCAAGCCAGCTTATCTGCACATGGCCTACATAATTTCGTCTGCACAAGGAGCATTGGTATGTAAAAGCATGAGAAAGTGTGGGGGAACTTTCAAATTCAGATTTGACCTCCGGGTGGTCTGGAGAGGGGGAACAAAAACCATCGAGAACCTGGAGTTGAACCCAAGGTCCTTTGAAGGGATCCGCTGAGAGCTCCGTTAGAGGGTCATGTAAGAAGTTTTTGAAGAGTTCTTAAGAGTTAGCCTAAAGTATTTTAAGGGGTGACAGGAAAAGAGACGCAAAAGGAAAGAAAACATGCTTAGACCAGGAAGAGACAGCCCTCAAAGCAAAAGGATCCAAAGGAAAGAAAGGGCTAAGGCAAAGGAGAAGGAAAAGAAAGGAAAGGAGAAGGAAGAAGCGAAGAGCAGGTCGCAGGAGGAAGCGCAAGCAGCAGTGATCCAAAGTTACATCCAGTGAAGGAGCATCCGCAGCAGAAGAGCAAAAGTGAGGAGAAGAGGATCAAAGGCCAAAGGAACAAAGGCCAAAGAAGGTAAAACAAAGAAAAGAAGTGAGACCTCTTTTGGCCAGGCCCAAGGAAAGCAGTGAGAAGCCTTCTTTGAGGAACAGTTGGGTGAGGTGCAGGAAGTGAGGTCTTCAAAGACTTTCATCGGTCTTTTGGGGTCCTTGAGAGGTGTCCATCGGGGTTCTTGTAAAAACTTTGAGAGACTTCAAGGAGTCCATGGAAGGGATCCTTACGTCATTTTTTGCGACTATCTCATTTTAAAAGTTCCTTCAAAGAGCTTCAAACGAGGCTTGGAACCGTGATGGCAGAGCCTCTCAGTATGGTGGCACCACCCAAGCCGCGCTCAGGACATGAAATGTACAACCTACGGGTGACGATGAGAAAAAACAAATGGCCGCCACCACGAGTAGGCAAGTGTGCCACGGCAGGCAAGTCTACAACTACCCATGAACGCCCAAAACGTGGTTCGGGCTCTCGCAGTACGCTGTACTCGGTTCGCAGAGCATGAGGCAGCCGTGCAACTTGCCCAGTTGTGCGGTGGGCGCCAGCTCCAGGCAGCCCGGCCACTATTCTGGTTCAGAACTACCATCCCACACAAACCGTTGTAAACATGGTGCACACCAAAGTCAGTACTTAGATTCTGGGTTCTGGGTTTATGATGACAGTCTTTAGGGTTTAGGACATCGTGCTTTAGAGGGGAGTTTACGATGTGACAAGCAGCGATGAAATTATACGTTTGACAAACTGACACCGGCAAGGATCTCAGCAAAGCGCAGATACTACGGCAGAAGCAGGCCACACAAGCATTTTCTCCCTATGGCGTTGAACGAGGGGATCGGCACCCCCATGCCCACCCCCAAAGAAACACAACTTGTTTCCCTGTTTTATGTACACCTATCTAGATACTTGCTTAGCTATCTATCCACATTAACTAGATATCTAGCTTATTAGTTCTTATTCTTTGTCTTGTTTTCAATTCATTCCATTTTTCGTTCTTTGGAGGGGTTGGGGTTGGGGGTTGGGGGTTGGGGATTTGGGGTTGTCTTGTCCGGGTCCTGAAGAACCAAGATCCATTTCCAAGGATTATGTAAGGTTAACGAAGTGTTTAACTTTAGCTTCGGGCTGAATTGAGGCTCAGCGCTTGCTTGTAAGGCATAAGCCCCAGCAGCACCCTGCCCGAGCTTATGATTCTGTTAGCCCGAGCACACATGCGATATTTCCTTACAACTTGAAGCCCGGCAGCAATGCCCGAACCCAACTTGCGCCTGTGCGTGCGTGCGGGCATACGGCGCGACGTCGTCCGCCCGGCCGTCCGCGCCCACCCACTACCAATTCTCACAAGCCACGATGGACGACCCGCGACCAACAGCCAACGACCCACAACTGACAACCGACGATCGCCTGACGACTGATAGAGAGCGGAAGACCCACGACCGGGCCGACAACCCATAACTGACTCCACAGACAGACGAAGAACGACGGACGACTAAAACCGAAGATCCAAGACCGACGAGCGACGACCGACCACAGAAAATCTACAATCTACGACCTGCAACTGACATCCGAACATCAACACCCGACGACCAACCGCCTACGACCAGCGACACTTCTCGAGGAGGAGAGCTGAAGATCTGCGACCAAACCACCGGCGACCAACGAAATACGGGCGACCCACAGTCCACAACCGACAATGGACAAACTGACAACTGATAGGGTACGTCGGGCACGTCACACGGCCGAGGAGAGCACACTCGCAGGAGCAGGTTGGGGGTTGGGGTTGAACCCAGGTTGTAACCCGCGGGCCGGGTCCAAAGGGGGTTTTAACAACCTCCCAACCTCACCTCACGTTAGGGTTGGAATTCAACCCCAACCTCAACCCCAGGTGCCAGGTCCGACTCTAGGTTCGGGTTAACCCGAATGAACCCGAACTCCAAGTCCGCAGGTTGGGGTTGAGGTTAACCCAACTTCGGCCTACAGGGTTTGGGTTGGGACAAAGCCAGAGTTGAACCTGAACCTCAAGACACAAGGAGGAGAAAGACACAAAAACCAAAAAGCAAAGAAAATTGAATCACACATGAAACGTCTTCTCCGACAAGAAGGCAAACTTGCCGCTTTCTTCAGCTGCGAAGACATGCACACAAACTTTTTCCCACAAGAGAAGAAAGCCACACAAAAAGCTTCAGGAACTAAAAACAGCGAAGAAATTTAGTTAATCACTAATCACACATTGAACCTCGATTCCGGCCTGACCAGCAGAGCGGTTGATCACACATCGATCTTCTCACACGAAAACTTTATCTGTTTTGGGTTAGAATGGAAACTCCGCCAGCAATGCTTGTCACGGTGTCCACGTCTGGCGGCACACCTGTGCGGAGCTTTAGGAAAGGAGCGCTGACTGCCCAAAAGACTCAGACTGCGATGGAAGGGCGCGACCTCAAAGCTCCGAAGACTCACCGAAGAATGGACGGCATGGGACGCCGGTGATTTGTTGGCATGGTGGACATTGCAGCTGGAACAGCATCTGGCTACACACACGAACTGAGCCATTTGGGCCCGCCTTCTGCACTGGCAAGACCTTCGCCTCAAGCAGGGAAAACATCTGACTGCAGCTGATCACTGCGATCCGCTGCATGTGTCATACAGGCTTCGGCAAAGGACTTTGGACAGTTCACCTGCCACGTAAATTGTCAATCGTTTCGAGGCGGTCATCGTCGTCATCGTCCAAAATAGAAGCCTTGAGCGCCACTTTGCACTGACTGCTGAAAAGCTGGACATGAGTTGCATCAAAGAAAAAGGGGCCTTTCCCTGGCCCCGCTTGCTCAATGTATTGTCAAGAACCCGCTCAGCATGCGGCCAACATTGCTGCCTCAGGCATTTTGGTGAAACTCATGTCAGTCCAAAGTGTCTGGCTGCTTTTTTTACATTAAATCCTTACGTTACAAGCCACATGCCTTCTCAAGACAGGTGCATCCACGCATGAGGCTGCAGCAGCCAGCGGACAATCGTAGCCCGAGGATGAGGAAGATGCGCAAGGATCCTCAGGCATTTAGGTGAAACACAGGTCAGCACAGAGCGATTGGCTGCTTTTTACATTAAGCCACATGCGCTTGAAAAAGACAGGTGCATCCTTCGTGACACTTCTCTGAGGCTGCAGCCATTGGCCACTCGTATACCGAGTACGCTGAAGAAGATGCGCAAGCAGCCTCGGCTTCCAGTCCAATATCGTACCAAGCAACGGCAGAAGCAAAACAATGGCGTGGCGGGATATTGAAACGTATGAAGCCGTTGGTTTCACTACACAGCTGAGAAACAAATCCTATACCTCCCGAGGCACAGGCAGCCTTTTGCAGCTGTACATGTAGAATGGTCGTGGACAAAATACACCTGACATCAAAATTCTCATACGCCACATGCATCTCTCTCTTTGCATCTGCATCCTTCAGGAACACATGACCAGGCGCTTCTCGCCCAACGGAGCTTACTGCGGTCCCTTTACCGGAGAAATTGCTGTCTCCTCCATCAGCTGAACCACAGTGCTGCAAACTGGGGGCCCGGGCTGGAGTTCCGGGAGTCGCT